TGGGATGGTTTCTGAATTTATTAATAATTTTCTGCGCTGCTGGCTGTTACAACGCGAGTATTTCTTGAGAATTTTGAATATCCCTACATCCCTACAATATATAAAAGAGGAAAGTTACTTTTACTTTTCATTGCACGTCATGTCGTCGTCATGTTGATAAGTCAAAGTTTAAATTGATTGGCAACTCAAATAACGAATGTTTGAATTGCGCTTTAGTATTCCTGTATTGATTCTATATAAACTTCTAGGACTAGCTCTATTAGTTAATCATTTGCATCCTCTTTATAGTGGGCAATGTTTGAATGATTCAACACCATAGGATATGTAGCTGTATTTAATACATGTTCTACTTATCTCGCAAAAAGGCATTTGAAAGCTACGTGTTTTCCCCGTTCTACGCTAATCATTAGATACTTTTAGCTGTGGCTTGCTCCCTTCCCTTTTTCCCATTTTCATTGTCACAAGTTGATTAATTTAGTTCTCATAGTTTAACTTTCATTCATGTACCAAAAAATTCTTTGCCCGAAAATGTTATAACTAATGTATATGTGTCTTCAAATAGATAATCATTATAATGACATTTTTTACAAAATTATAATGGTTATCGTGCAACGCACGATCCACACTAGTAAATATATATAAGGCAACTGATATAACGATGGTTTTTCAAAATTAACTATAATACTACTCAGTATGCTCCTTAGTTTTCTATATTCAACGCACGATCCACACTAGTATATATAATAATCCAATCCCACCTCACACTAACACACTATCATTTAACCCATTTTTTCCCCCAAAAAATCCTATAACCACACCCAACATCCCTCCTCCTTCACTGTCATTCGTTGCCACCACAACTCACACCATCGTCACCAAAAATGTATAAATACATACTAGACTGCTGACAATGGTTCAAGGTGGTCCATCGATGACTTTGAAGACGTTGCCGTTGATGAGGAGAAGAGGGAGAAGTGATGAGATGACTATTATGTACTTCATTATAAACGGTGGAATAACGCCCGGTGGTGGAGGGCTTGGCGGTAGAGATTTCTTTGTTAGCAATTGGAGCAGTAATGGATCTCGTCGGATTGGCGGGTCAAGGGCTTTGACAATGAAGACAACGTAGCCCTGAATAGCATGGTGGATGTAGATCTTCTGGAAATAGTGCAATTTGTGGAAATCGTGGATGTGGTGGAGGTGGATTCGAAGTAGAGGTGGTGATTGGTGGGTGAGATCAAGAACGATTTTGGCTAGTTAATTGTGATATGACTAATCAATGAGGGATTTGCAGGCCATAAATTGCATAATATGTGTCTATGGCCTGCAATTTTGTAACTAAGATATGATCGTAATCATAAATTGTGTTTATTATAATTATGATCTGTTTGATTAAATATAAGTAACATTTTATCAAATGTCTTAAATGATTTTTGAAAGATTTCATCAAATTTCTTGAATTTGAAAGTGTATTTTAAAAGTATGGCAATCATTAATTTTTTCCTTCTTTTATTCCTTTTTTTTTTTTTTGCATTCTTTAATTTAGTGAAAATTGAATTGCCGCTAGTATTTTTAGATTTCATTGGGTGGTTGTATTAACACTAAATTTTAATTGTCTCATTATGTTTCTATTTTCTTATTATTATATTTATATTTCTAACATTTTTCATTGTATTTATATTTTCAGCATTCTATTAATTAGCACATCTTGTTTCGATAAAGTATTATTAAATAAGAAAAAAGTAATAATATAAAAGTGGTACTATCTTGAAGTACAATAATAAAATTCTTGGACAAAAATCATTAATTATCTACAGACAATGTGAGTGAAAATAATGAAATATTGATTATAGGAATGAGATAAAAAATGAGGGACACAAGTATAACAGTATGTAAAGTTAAGAACTTTATTTAAAATATTATTCATTTATAAAAAACTGTCGTGCAAATAAAATTATTCATATTATTTTTAATGAATGAGAAAATAAAAAATATATCTTGTTTAACAACTCATTTCTTGATAATCAATCATAATTTGAATATGCTTATCTAAAAATTAGGAAAATTAAGTATGCCCTCGCTCCCCAATCTTTTTATGTGCCGTAGATGTTGATTTTCAACATTCAAAAATGAGGTTTTGAGTTTTCAACATATTCAAATCTCATATGACTGAAATTGTTAATGTGAATGTTAAAATCAAATGCATCTGTCAGTCAAATTAGGAAGATATTTAGGTTGTTTGATGGTTTTGCTCTTCCAATTTACGTCCAGTGCAATTTTGGTCACTTGAGAGACCTAAATTCATCAAACATTTAAGTCCATGTTCCATTAGCCCAGGTTCAGAAAAGAAAATTATAATCCAAATGGAAACAATTAAGGGAAGAGTTCAAACGTCAGGTGTTTGGAATAAGGCAAATCAATATTTAGATTTTAAGTTTCAAAATTCATAAATCATGTATTAGTTAATTAATTAAATATATATACTTATTAATAAAATATATTAAGGTTATAGTTATAGAATTAATGGTCACAAATTGTTCACAGTTTATTTGCAGATCACAGATTTCCAAATTAATTGGTCACATATTTTTTAATGGTCGCATATAAAAAAATATTTGTAAGTCACAATTAATTCGTTGATCACGGATATCAAAATTTATAGGTCACACAGTCATAGATTCTTTTACGATCACATATTATATACTTTTTAGGTCACTGATTGTTAGTCACAGTAAACCAAATTGTTGGTCACATGCACCAAACACCCCCACCACGAATACTTGGTCACAGGTCAACCAAATAATTGGTCACAAACACTATCCCACCTCTGCCCCCACCGCCCACAACCGCTGCACCACCACCACATCACCAACAACTACCTCCATCACCAACAGAAACGCACAACCAACGCCATCGCTACAACCACTGTCATCACCGCCCAATCACCATTACTGCCATTGCCGCCAACAACCACCTGCATGACTATCATCCAAAAACCCCTAAACAACCACCAACACCACTACCACGCCACACCAAGCACCACGATACCACAACCATTTGCAAACAAAACCAGAAAAACCTAAAAAAAAAGAGGAAAACCACAATCTTTCTCCTAACACAACCATTTGCAAACAAAACCAGAAAAACCTAAAAAAAAAGAGGAAAACCACAATCTTTCTCCACCACCGATGGCTCATGTTTTCTGGTTTGGGCTTTAGATGTGACGAATCTGAAGGAGCCACAGAATAGGCGAGGCTCTGATGGAGCCACAACGGTGGTCCTGTGCGAGTGACACTCCGCTGCACTTCTACAGCAACTTCATCGCGCAGTGAACTGAGGGGGTTCCGGTGCCAAATGATGGGTACGGCGTCGGAATAGTTAGGGTTAGGGGTGGGAAAGGTAGAGATAGTTGACACTGACGAGAGAAATGGCGATGTGGTTTTCGGCGCAGCACAGAGAGAGACAACAGAAAGAGTGAGGGAAGAAGTGAGTTAGGGTTTTAATATTAATATATTTATTAAAATATAAAATTATTACCTGATTTTTGAATAAGTAAACTTTCAACTTGATTTTTGAAAATCAATCTTTAAACACCTGATTTTTTTGGTTATTTCCCAACAATTAAAACCCCCTCAACCCAAATCCCCATTAGCCTAAGTTCAGAAAAGAAAATTAAAACCAAAATGGAAACAACCAACAAAGTTTCGGCTTGACTTACCATTAATGATTTTGTTCCTGACCAAACTGGGCAGGAAAACACAAACTACTCAGACAAGTTTGGGTTCAATGAGGCAAATTCTTCTTTTTTATTTTTTTCTGTTTTTGAGGGGCGTAAGCTAAGTAGATAAGGGAACCATGATGCCCTGACAAGCATGTATACAATTCAAATTGTATATATGAAGGAACTTGGTGGGAAGTTCAATTGTAGTATTGAGCCTCTTTACAACTTCAAAGTAATGAAGGCTCATCTCCATGAACCAGAAATATATCTGTGCATTTAGAAAAGGAAATTGTATAGTCAAAATTAAAAAATAAATCGACTATTCCGATTCCGGTGACCGTTCCGACGACTTCTCCACATGTGACATGTTAATATTGATTTTTTGTCACAACATTTTTATAGATCACATGGTCACATACTACCAAAATAATTGGTCACATATTTTTTCACGGTCACAGATTATATAATTTTTAGATTACAGATAACAAAATAGTTGGTCACGGATTATCGAATTTTAATGTCATAGATTATATTTTTAGTTACAGAAAGGTCACACGAACACAGATTTTCAAATTATTTGGTCATAGATTTTTTCATGATCACAGATTATATAATTTTTAGGTCACAGATAATGAAATGGTTGGTCATGGATTATATTTTGAGTCACAGGCTATCAAATTTTAAGGTCGAAGGCTTATATTTTTAGTCACAGAAAACTAAAATGACCAGGTCTACCCCCACTACCTCTACACTATCGCCACGACCATTACCACTGCCTCCACGACAACCACCACGACCAATATCACCACCACCACTGCCACTTACGCACCCTCACTCCACCACCACCACAACACCACCAACACTACGGGGAAACCACCATCTCCACCACCAATAGAAATGCACAACCGTGACCGCCACCACCAACAACCACCTCCACCACCAACAAAAACGAACCCCCACCGCCTAGCCACCATCACTGTCCGTCGCCACCAACAACAAAAAAAGGCACCACCACCGTCACTGCCCATCGCTACCAACAACAACCTGTCATCGCACTACCACCACTAAACAATCACCACAACAAACACCACTAAAACACAAACCACACCACCCATCTCACAGCATCGATCTCCAGCACCACCACACAAATCGTACAAATCAGAACACATACCACATATCTACCACCTCCACCATTTGTCGGCACTCGGATCGATACTGTAACCACTTCGTAGTAGTGTCGCATCGAAGCTTTCGTGGCCAGAAGAGCGACGCTCAGATTTCAAAAAATACCCGTCGAAACTCCCTTAGCCATAAAAGTTCTGGCGTCACATTCAGCATTTGGGCACTCCTTACACAGTCTCTGTACCTTGCCAAAATCCTCAACCTTGTAGAACTGGAGTACGGCTAGCTTTACCTTCTTCTTCTTGTGCTCAATCTTCTTAAGCTTGGTGTAGGTCTTCTTCTTGCGCTTCTTAGCGCCACCGCAGAGATGGAGGATGAGGTGGAGGGTAGATTCCTTCTGGATGTTGTAGTTGGCGAGTGTACGACCATCTGCAAGTTGTTTCCCGACAAATATTAGACGCTGCTGGTCCGACGGGATGCCCTCCTTGTCCTAGATCGTAGCCTTGACATTGTCAATGGTGTCAGAGGATTCCACCTCCAGGGTTTTTCCCTTTAAGGGTTTTCACAAAGATCTGCATCTTTGCAATTGGGTTGAGAAATTCCAATAATAGGGATTTTGGGTGGCTCGCTCTGTCTCTGTACAGAGTCACGGGTGGGTAAAGATGGGAAGGGACTGGGACCACCATTCAGATCCGCCACCTTCTACACCGTCGAGAGAGAGAGAGAGAGAGAGAGAGAGAGAGAGAGAGAGAGATAGGGAGCTGGGGAGTGAGGGAGAGAAGTGAGAGACGGAGGGGGAGAGAAGTGAATTTAGGGTTTAATTTGGGATGAAATTAAAATATAATTTATATATATAATTATAATCTGTATCTAATTAAAAATATCTGATTTTTGAAAATTAAAACTTGAAATCTGATTTTAGAAAATTAATCTTGAAAGGTAGGGAATTGGGTAATTTGCACTTTCAATTTTATTGTGGATTTGGACATAAAAAAACCCAAATTTAAGGCGTAAAAGTACCAAACATAAAAATAGTCTCGTTACCTCTTTTATTTGCCAGACCTTAAACCCTCTTAAAATTGTCCTCTCCGACCCTTTTTTTCATTTTTAGATTTATCTAGTTTGAGCTTTATTCTTATATTGAGGATGACATCCTCAATGTTTTCAAAATGTGGTGGGCGGGAAACTAGATTTTTTTAAAAATTGTCCAATAATGTATTGCAACTTGGCATAATATATAAGAAGAGTAAAAAATGATGTATATGTAGCATGACTGATCTAGTTTTACTAATACTACCATGCGATTTCAGAGGTGCTCTTGATATTTTTTATTTTTATTTTTTGCTTTTCTTTCTTGAGTTCAGGATATATCTTATATTTTTAGTAATGGCCAGTTTTCTTTTCTAACAATTTGATATTTTTTTAGAAGGATTTTTATGCTAGAATGTTTCTAATCTTATTGTTTAAATAATTGCACCTTTATTTTTAGAAGGTGCAGTCCCTAAAGTTGCAATGAGAGACAATGATTTGGAGGAGTTTTTTCGGGATGTGATAATGTTTTTCTCAAAACATGATATTGAGATACCAAACTGGATGGTTTGCATAAGGTTGGTCCTTGTCGTTCTCAAGATCAAATTAATGTGGAGCATTATTCTGACTTTGTTATTTTCATTGAAGCAATAGATTTTTATTGACAAAGTTAAACACACGATTTAATGATATATTGGTAGAACTTCTTTCTCTCAGTGTAGCTTTGGATCTCAGAGATTCATTTTAATCGTTTGAAAGTCATGATATTTGTATGCTTACAGAGAAATTATATCCTGAAATTTTTTCAAAGCAAGATATTCATACTTTGGAACATGAGTTGCGATATTATGAACTAGATATGAGGAGGCAACATCAGTTTCAAGTATCTACACTGTTGAGTTACGCTAGAATCTGATTGAGAGTAGAAGCTGGTTGAAGACTTGGTCCTTGTTTGGTTTTCATTATTTCCAAAATACATTTTTTTTCTCTCTTTTTTTTAAACCATGTATTCTTCAATAAAATAATATTTCATACATACTCTAAATTTTTCCGTATTTTTTAACCACAATTTATTTTTCAAAATGCATTTTGGGAAAAAAAAAAAATTGGGACTCAAACATGCTTTTATATTATGGTAACTAGGTTGATTTATTTTATATTGACTTTACATGTTTCTATCACGATTACTGAGCAAGCATTTATAGCAATAAAACATGTAAACGTATTTCATAAAAAAAAAAAAAAGAAAAAGGAAGGACGACTTTCTTGCATATTGTATGACACTCTGCATCAAATGAGATCTTGTTAATAAGATAGATCTATATTCTACTGTAAAAGAATTTTATGTTTCAAAAACTCATAGGGAACAACTTCAAATTAGATGAAAATGACTTTTAATGTTATATATATGAATTTAATATATTGATTTTCTTAAATATTAACCTATGTGTCTTAAATTCATGAATTCATCGTTGATCATTAGCTCTATCAGTATAGGGTTGAGTACAGATAATATAGTGATAATACGAGTCATACAATATGAGTTGTTTCTACTACATTAAACATTTTTCATTGAATCTCCAAGCACAAATGTTAGGTTACTCTTGGAGGTGACTCCCTTATAGGTTTAAGTACATCTCCTCAATTTATTTATTCCATCACGGACTACAATTTGTCTCTCCTAGTTAATAATTTGGTACCATAAATTTTTATTGAATAAATACAATCGCAAAGCTCTTATGCTTCTCTGCACATATGCATTTCTACAAAGTCTCCTAAGAAATTTCTAAAATATCAATATCACATAATTAAGTATAATAACATAAACAAGCGAAATTCTAATATTGACTTTTATAACACTTTGAGCAGATACATCCATTCAACTCTTGTATTTCACTTGTAGTTCTACAATTTAATTTTTAACACATTTCAAAAGTCAGTTTTACAACTGAGAAAAATAAAATATAAGGTGTACAGTTTGAAAATTTACATCCCCGCATTTATGGAACTTCTTTTCTATAATGAAATTAACATTAGGATAATAACATGGTTAACGGATATTAGGATTTAACTTCCTCCAACTTGTTTGGATTTCGATAAAATTTGAGAAAATTTCATGGAGGATATTGCATCACAACCTATTTAGACTAGCTTCTTGACAGATTCATAAGATTGTATTCCAAAATAAATCGATACGAACCCAATTAACCAGTATCTAGAGTCAATTCTACTCGAAAAGAATTTCTTCTAGAGTTTCAATATGTTTACTTGGAAAACTAGCCGAGACAATGTATACTACATAGATTACATGATGTATATAACATTTTGCAGTACTTGTGAACGCGAAAGGTTGAAATGATATTACATGTAAACTTCGCCTTCATGGAAAAGAATATTGATTTTTTTTCTATTTAAGGTAGTTTGTTTCATAATGTTACTTCGACTTCTGCTTCTATATCAGTTGTCAATTTGGGTGCTTGAAAATGGGATATTAGCAACTATTCAAGTGTGTGTGTGTGTGTGAGAGAGAGAGAGAGAGAAGCTACGTATTCAGTAGGGGCCTCAAAAGTGAAACAAATATCTAAGGAAAACTAGTTCAATTTCAGTGGAATTGTTTCTAATTCTAATTCCAACCACCAAATGCAATCTCACTCGCAACACTAATTTATCTAATTGAATTCAATTAGCAATCATAAGTTGATTCTATGTACACAACAGATATTGATGATTAATCTAATCAGTAGTCAACACCATAAACTTGTAATCTCTTCTCTCCCGAAGAATATGAAACGCAAAAATTGAGGGCAAAAACCCTTATCACACACGAGAATAGTCATTTTCTGGTACTCATTATTTTTAAAATACATATTTTCTCTCTTATTTTCAACAACACATTTTTCAATAAAATAATATTACACTAACTCAAAACTTTTATGTATTTTTTAACCACATGTTTTCCAACAAAATACTATTACAAAATGCATTTTGAACAGAAAAAAAATACGCATATATTGTCCAAAGGAAAAAAGAAAACCCAATTGAGTTGAGTTTACCACTGCACTGAGATTCAACACTGAGAAAACAGATGAAAATCATATCAAACTCTTCTTGTTAATGGGTATTATTTCGACTAAGAGAAAAATATGGGACCCTGCTCTATTTTTCTCCATGAAAAGGGCAAAGAGGATTCAGAAAAATGCAAACAGATGAGCAGTTGAGAAACTCATAAAAAGAAAACCTGATCGATTAGAAAATCAATGGCAGATTTGGGGTTACAGTCAACCCAATCACATTACTTCTCCTTTGTTAGAGACCAAAAGCAGATTTAAAAAAAAAAAAAAAACTATTATTAGCGCAGAAAAGGAAAGAATGGGGCAATGCTGAAATGACAAACAAAGAGAGAAATGTGTACAGTTGATTCACACTAAAATGAGCATCGGAATGTGCACTTCAGTTAGGGAGAAAACACACAACTAACCACTGTGTTGCCCATAATTTTTATCTAACTTGCTATGGTAATTAGCAGCAATAGGGCACCATAGATAATATATTTTTCATGCACTTTGAAGATCATACACTATTTTTGATGCACAAACCTAACACGATTTTAGATTGATGGAGAAAAACGAGTGATTTGTGTACAAATTATCAATTAGCATAACATAAATATAAGAAAAGAGTTAAAAAGCAAGTCTTAGAAAGTCACGTCGAGAATGCTGTTCTAAAGCTAAACGGGTACTTTTTGTAGTACACGACTACACGATAAAACCTTTATAGCTCAAAACATGCTTTCCTTTTATAGGCATGGCCACAAGAATATAAAGAATAAGCCTTTATCGAATTATCAAAATTATTGAAATATAGTATAAAAATATAGAGATAGTATTCTATCAAGTTTTAAAGTTATATCAAATAATGAAATATCCCTCCTTTTTATAGTACAAAAGTTCAACACCCGCGTTCATGAACATTAAATCATTTAAATATAAGTTAAATTATAAATTTAAGATTTTAATTTTTATTACACATGATATTAAAAAAAAAACTGAAAATTATAAAAGGTTTTAATTTTGAAAATTTAAAACTTCTATCTTTATGCAACAACAGTTTCATACATCCCAATACAATATGGTTTCTGTAATTCAAGATTTGGACAAGCAATTGAACCATATGAACCACTGACTCTGCTAAAACCCAAGATTTGTCCTCTGATGTTCCAAATTTTGTCATAGCAGAACCCGCAGCTTCCCAGTTCACACATGTTATAAAAGGTTCAATTTTTCTCGATTTCTTGAACTTTCATTTACTTGTTGAATATCGAGAATTCCAGTATTTCTCAATTTCGTCTGCAGTTCTTCCAGGGATTCTCCCAGCTATCAGTAACCACCTGATCATAAACACAACACTTCATTCAATCAGTACCACGGCAGTTTATGCTAAATTCCAGTGGGGAAAAAGAAAATGATTTTACCTCTCACCAACCAGGTTGTACATTCTAATCACCAGGGCTTCTTCGTCTTTGGACAATTCAGTACCAGATTTTTTACTGCTTACCTCTGAAACAAATCAAGAGTGGGATTTTGTCAATAAAAATATACAGATCTTGTTAAGACTTGAGATTACGTATTAAAATGTCAACAGGAGTAGCTCAAGCTCTTATAATATGTTGCTCTATATTTTCATCTTTATTAAATATGGAATTTATCCCTTAACAGATCGCTTAATACAACTATGTACAAGCGATTTCGAACTCTATGATCAATCATAAATGGACTGTTCGGATATGATAGACGACAAACTTGACAACGAACTTAAAGAAACTGGCAGAACAAATGGCCCTTTGTGAAAACTAGGAGTTGGCTAATGTGGATGTAGGGGCAAGGCAAGTACCTTGAAAACCGGTGAGAGATTCCTCGGACGAAGAATGCTCTGAATCTGCCATTTTTACACGAAACTGGAGGTGGGGGGTGGGGTTGAGGTTGGTTGTTCTAATTCACTCATGAAAGCTGCTACTAATACTTTTCAAAGAGCGTCTCACATTTATGAAAATTATTCCTGTTAGACTTTTATAAAGAAATTGAATTCGGCTTTTCAATGAAAGACTCAAATAAAAAAATGCATTCCTTTGTAACACAATAATATAACACGTGACATATGTTAACAAATAAAATTTCACATCGAATAAAAATAAGAACATACACAAATTTATAGGTTTCGACTATTCATCTTTAAAAACTTGATATTTTAAGACGGAACCCCAAATATTAATATATGGTATCAAATACATTAAGTTTCAACGAACAATTAGATCCGACTAATGCTAAAAACGAGCACATAGATTTCAAGATTAGTTTGTACAAACGAATCATCATCTTGCGAGAACATGTTAAGCGATAAAACTTCAAAAAAAATAAAGATAAAAATATAGATCAATTTATAAGAACTTGAACTTGTTCCCTTAAAAAGATTAACTGTCTTAGATGGAACACAAAATTTAATAATACATGTAATGTATACTAGTACGAGAATACAAGTGCCATCAATAGTATGGAAAATTAGTTGAAGAAAGGGGGGCAAATTGGAAACTTTTATCTTTTAAATAAATTTCCCTTCCTATATTTTAATCTATAATATCCTATTCTTGCTTATGGTCCATAATTTACGGGGATAAATGCCAAAATAATAGACATAGGTTATAGGTTGCGTTATTCTACTTCAAATAGCTGTTTATACAAGTAAACCGAGGTTTCATCTCAATCGACAGTAATTGGCTGCTTCCAGTTTTAATTTTTAATGAATACTTGTCAATTATAGAGTTTGAAAATAATTTCATCAAACGTGCAAAATACACGGCATTGTATGTTCGAAAATGCTTAGTTTAATTTTTAAGTAAGTCAAACATACTTTCTATTTTATTGGCTTGTTCTGGTTACCGGAGAAAAGATGCCAAAGTGCTAAGAAAAAAGTGAAAAGGAAAGTTTGCAAAATTTTCGTCATTGTCTTTGCTCAAGTAGAACAGAGATGCTACAAATCCCGGGATTAGATCCCGGGTCAAACCAGCAAAATTCTAAGTAGAAACGCAGTTATTCAACAACTCACAGAGGGTGAATAGGGTTCTAAGAGTTAGCCTTGATTTATAGTGATTAAAATCTAAATTTTAATTTAAATCAAAGTCAATGATTAATTTTATAATCACATATTTTATTGGACTCATATCAAAATCTATTAAAAATCTGATTTTAATATTCACTAAACAAGAACTAATATGTAATTCTCACCACACATTTCATTGATTGATTGTTGGGGGAATGCATAAGATTGAAGAATTAGAAAATAAAACCTCATCAACATTATATTTCCAGCTGATCGTGTGTTGCTTTAACTTGTGTACTATGGAGAATGAACTTGAGATAATATTAAAAAACTATAATAAATATTTTATCTAATCTTAGTCCTATCATTAAGGTAAAATGATCGTTGATCGAATGCATTTTCGGACTAATATTAGACTAGGAATTGTATTGGGTTTTATTCTTAAATTTGGTCCCCACTATAGCTATAGTAGGGACCAAAGTTAAACCATGTTTGATGGCTATTATTTGGCCAAAATAATATTTTGAAAAGTGATTTTTAGAAGAATACATGATTAAATAGTGGGGAAAAGTTTTGGGTTTAGATGCACAATATTTTATTGGGTGAATGTATGGTTAAAAAATAATATGTAGAAAAAAAAATTTTTAAATAATAATTGTCAAATATAGCAAAATATTATTCGACAAAAGCCAATTGTATGCATTAATTTTTGTACCGGATTTTCTTCTTCCAAAAAGTCTGCGTGCAATATGTGGAAATTATTTATGAAACAGTGTAGAAAATGTATATGAATGTCGATGTTTCTAAGAATTTACATTCTTGTCTTCTCTTGTCTGCGTGCTTTTTTTACCATTGAAGAGCTCATTTGTCTTTTCCAAGGTATAAAGAAATAGATAGGGAGTTGCGGTGGGTTAGAATTAGGGGTGTCAACGAATCGAGTCGAGCCACGAGTCGAAACTTGAAGTTCGAGCTCGACTCAAGTACAAATAGTTCAGGCTTTTTTTGGTTCGATCCGAGCTTTAAGTTTAGGCTCAACCCGAGCTTTTGGCTCGGGCCTTATCAAGTCGAGCCGGCTCATTTTTTTCTTTTTTTTTTTTTTAAATTCGTGACAAATCTAAAATTGATATGAACTCAAAATTTTATCTCATATTTATAGCAAAAATAAATATTCGTTTCAACCAATTTTTTTCAAAAACCAATAAAAAATAATATAAATTTCAACACAGGCAGCTATGACTAGCTGCATGCGTAGGCAACATGCAGTTATGTGTTGCAGGCGGCTAAATTTTAGCTGCCTACTTTTCTATTTTTTTAGTTTGTAAATTATTATTATTATTATTATTTAATTTTTTAGGGTTGATTGTCACGGGCCAGCCCGTGTGGCTCGGGCTCAAGTTGACGCCCCAAAATGGGGCTCAGCCCAAGCCTCGACTCAATCCCAACCCCGGCTCAGGCTTTTCCCTAGCCGAGCCTAGCCACTCAGGCGAGCCATATTGCCATCCTTAGTTAGGATGCAAGATGTTACATGAATAAATTCACGACATGCCAAGAAAGTTTTTTAATTTTTTTCTATTAAACCATCACGAAGGTGGGAATTAATTAAAGGGATAATTGCAGCAGCGGTACCAAACTTTTATTTAGTAACAAACTTTGTTCAAACCTTTCATTTGTATTATCCACGGTACCAAACTTTTCATTTTTGCCATCAACGGTACCAAACCTTTCAAAATGTCTGCAACTGAAATCTAAATGGATGGTTTCAGTTAGTTTGACCATTAGTTGACCAAATAATTGACTTTGATAATAATGTTAATTGATTTAAAAAGGTTAAAATGGTAATTTTACATTTTTTAATAATAAAATAACAATAATCAAATAATTAAAATTAAAAACTCATTCCACCTTCTTCTCCTCCATCCATCCATCCCACCATATGCGAATATGGGAAATAAACCTCTTCAAAATCTCGAACCCATGGCATCAGAAATTTGTTGCCCAACTATGTAGATCTACGTAGGCCAGAATAGAGATTTGGACCTTAACAACTGATTAGAAATGGAGCTTCTTGATAAAAAAATGGATTTCCTACTGAAATGGTCTGCAATAGACTATCTTGACTAAAGAGGAGAATAGGAAATAAGAGATTGGAAAGAGTTTAGAGATTTTCTGTATGCCATCTAAGCAAGTTTTTGAAAAGGTCCATTTATTGCTGCTAATTTGTGGAGGCGCTTGTGGCAGTCACTGCAGCATTTATGTAGGTAGATTGCGATAGTTGACATGGTGGAAATGGGTGAATTTTGGTTCGTTTGGTTGGGGTTGGGTGAGGAAATGTGGGGATAAGTGTTGGGGTGGGAAGAAGATAAACCATTTCAGATGAAGTTTTCGATTTCTGATTTCATGGTCAATTAAGATGAAGTTTTAGGCTCAATGCACGGGTAGAGTTCTTTAGAGCCACTGCCATTGCAGTACAGCGCACATTAGGTTCTAGGGACTCCATTCCCGAGCTTGTTGAAGCATTCTCGAAGTTCCAAATCTAGATTTGCAGATTTGGGGTTGGGTTGGGGTGGGTGGAGACGAAGAAGGTGGAATGTGTTTTAAATTTTATTTGATTTGGTTATTTTATTATTAAAAAAAATGTAAAATTACCATTTTAACATTTTAAAATCAATCAACATTATTGTCAAAATCAATTATTTGGTCAACTAACGGTCAAACTAATAGAAATTATTCATTTGGACTTCAGCTGCAGACATTTTCAAATGTTTGGTAACGTGTGTGGCGTGAAAGGTTTGGGTAAAGTTTACTACTAAATGAAATATTTGGTACCGCTGCTGCAATTACCCCTTAATTAAATTGAAAAAGAAGTACATCTTAAATTCTAATATGGATAAAATAGGAAAAAAAAAAAAAAAGTTAAAAACACATTAGAGAAAGGGCCAAGCATGACATAGGACAATTCTTAAAAGGGATAAAAAAAAAAAAAAAAAAGGAAAGGGCAAGTTAAGTAAATACTCTTCAAATTCGGGACATTTTGAAAAATTATATGAAAAGTGTTTTGAAAGTAAAAAAAATTGTGTAAAGTCAAGTGAGACTTTTTCAATAAAAAGTGATATAATAAAAAATGACGTGCAATATCACTTTCTCTATCATAAAAATTTAATCCACATTTAATATAATACAAAATAAATTAGCAACTAAAAAAAAATTCTTATAAGCAAACTGAAAACTTATCCAATAATTATTGTTTTATTGAAATTAATTGTGTGTGGTATTTTAATTACAAAAGTGGCACAACATGCTATGACACTTTTTAGTGTAAATATTACAAACCATGTAAATTGACTTTTTTAATAAAAATATTTAACAAGAAGATTTTTACCCCACTATATTAAATTTTGCAAAAAAAGAAAAAAAGAAGGACAGTTAAATCAAAGTCAAATGAACTTACAACAAATACATACTTCAAAAAGATTAAATGATCTTTGTATCTGTGGGATTAAATATTGATCAAGCAATTCAATAAAGCGATAAATATTCAAAAAAGTGATAAATACTCAAAAAAAATGAGGAACAACAATCAAAGTCTAAGAATAGACATGAGGATGGTTGACTTTCTCCTACATGTTTTCTATTTATGATTGATTTTGTTTCACTTCTATTAACTAAACATAAAACATAATTTCATTTTAGAAAAACAACACGTTACTTTTTATACAATGTCACTTTCTTTATCATGAAAAACTTAATTTACATTTAACACAACAAAAAATAAAACTAACAATTAAATATTAGTTCAAAATATCTTGATAAACAAATTGAAAGCTTAGTCAAAGATGTTTTATTGTTTTA